GGAAGTGTTGTGGCGGCCATAGCTGGTATTGAGACCGGGAAATCCTGGCCTTGTGAGTGAAGTGCCCCAACATGGAAGAGTGTGAGATGGAAGCTCTGCCTCGGTGATATTTGCAGACAAGTTGGAGTGAACATTAACACATACAAAAGTAATCAATAAACTTAAGACAGTCAATTATAAGAGTGACAGGCACCAAAACGGACTAGGGTGATTGGAGAGGGCTTTTGTCCAGATGGGATTGAATTTGGATAGGCCAGGAGGGTATTCCTTTTTTTTTTTTTTTTAATCTTTATTGTTGAGAGTATTACAGATGTCCCCATTCCCCCCTCCACCCGGTTCCCACCCACCCAGGCCTTCACCACCTACTGTCTGTGTCCGTAGGTAAGACCTTTGGTTAATCTCTTCCTGCACCCCTTCCCCATTCCCCTCTGAGATTCGTCAGGCTGTTCCATGCTTCCCTGCCTCTGAGTCTATTTTATTCACCGGTTTATTTTGTTCACTAGATTTGTTCGTTTATTTTGATTTTTAGACTTAATTGTTGATACATATGTATTTGTTGCCATTTTATTGTTAATATTTTTTTATCTCTTCTTTCTCTTTTTAAGTATTCTTCAACATTTCATGTAATATTGGTTTGATGGTGATGAACTCCTTTAGCTTTTTCTTGTTTGTGAAGCTTTTTATCTGGCCCTCAATTCTAAATGAGAGTTTTGCTGGGTAGAGTAATCTTGATTGTAGGGCCTTCCTATTCATCACTTTGAATATTTCTTTCCACTCCCTTCTGGCCTGCCAAGCTTCTGTTGAGAAATCAGCTAACAGTCATATGGGCGCTCCCTTGTGGGTAAGGTAACTAACTGCTTTTCTCTTGCTGCTTTTAAGATTCTTTCATTAGGTTGGGGAAGTTTTCTGTCATTATTTTTTCAAATAGGTTTTTTCTCTCTCTCTCCTCCTTCTGGCCCCCCCATAATGCAAATGTTGGTACGTTTGAACTTGTCCCAGAGGCTCCTTGCACTGCCTTCATATTTTTAGATTCTTTTTTCTTTTTGCTCTTTTGATTGGGTGTTTTTTGGTTCCTCATATTCCAAATCATTGATTTGATTCTCAGAATCCTCTATTGTTAAATCCCTGTATATTCTTTATTTCAGTTAGTGTATGCTCATTTTCTGACTGATCCTTTTCATATCTTTGACATTCTCACTAAGATCTTTGGAAGTTTCATGGAGATTTTTGAGTAGCCTTATAACCATGGTTTTGAACTCTGTATCCAGTAGTTTGCTTACTTTCATTTCTTTCATTTGTGACATGTTTCTTTGTCTCCACATTTTGGCTGCTTCCTTGTGTTTGTTTCTGTGTATTAGGTAGAGCTGCTATGTCTCCTGGAATTGGTAGAGTGGCCTTGTGTAATAGATATCTTGGAGGGCCCAGTGGCTCAGCCTCCCCAGTCACCTGAGCTGGACACTCTAGGTGTACCCCTGTGTGGGCTGTGTGCACAGTCTTGTAGTTGAGCCTTGATTTGTTGTTGGCGTCACTGGGATGAGTTGACCTTTAGGACAATTGGCTGTGAGGACCAGCTGAGACTACAGTGGGAGAGGACTTGCTGCAGTGATGCTTTGGTGCTGAGTCTGCCTCTTGAGCAGTGGTTCTCAACCTTGGCTGCACATTAGAATCACCTGGGAATCTTTTTAAAAAATCCTGATTTCTGGGCCTCATCCTCCGGAAATTCTGTTTCTTTGTTACTAACGTTGTGGCCCCACCCCATAACAAAGAGACAGAATTTCCGGAGGATGAGGCCCAGAAATCAGGATTTTAAAAAGATTCCCAGGTGATTCTAATGTGCAGCCAAGGTTGAGAACCACTGCTCTTGAGTGTGCCCTTGTGGATGTACAGAGTTGTAATCTGCTATGGTCTAAAACTGTCCACTTAGTGCACTAGCTCTAGGACCTCCAGGGAGGTGCAAAGTCAGCCTCCCACAGCCAGGGAGGGCAGGAGCTACAAAGGGATCTGCAGGCAGCTGCCATTTGCTGTTTTTATTGGGCTTGGAGGTGCCCAGGCGAGGCTGGTACTAGTGCCAGATTGTGGGTCTTTTATTGATAGGTTTGGGGCACTCTGTCACCAGCTGCAGCTTGTTTGATTTTAGGGAAGCCTGAAGCCTGAGCCAGGACAGGTCTATTCATATGGAAAAGCTGTTGCAAACAGCTTGAGTGGTGCTGCAAATTGGATGGGGCAGGATCTCAGGGAATCCCCAGGATGGAGCAGTGTGCTCCAGGCTACAGAGACTCAGCTATGGCTGCCTGTCAGCCCTGGGACAGGGAAAGTCCCAGCACAGGAACAGTGATCCCTGTGAGTACCCCTGCCTAGCAGAAAGCCGCCCCCCGAGTTCCTGCCCTGATGCCAGGCAATTCAATTCCTCCACCTATGTGTCTGGGTTCCCCGGCGCTGAAGCTCAGACGTGGGACCGTGTAAGTTTGTGTTCGGGTCCTTTAAGGGGAGCACCTGGGTCTCCAGCAGACTCCCTGTCACTCAGCCAAAATCCCTGCTGGTTTTTACAACCAGCCCATAGTTGCAGGGATATCTCTTCCGAACTCTGGAACCCCGAGTTGGGGGTCTGGTATGGCTCCTCACAGGCTGCCTCCATAGAGACAATCTCCCCCCCCAAATGAAAAAAAAAACACAAAACGGTACAGGTGGGTGTCAGACCAGCCTGTCCTGCACCTCCACTCCTGCTACCAGTCTCAGTATGCTTTCTTCTTTCTCTAGTTGTAGAATTTCCATTCAGCAAGCTTTACAGTGGTTCCACATGATGGACATTCTGTATTTATTGTAATTTTGATGTGGTTGTGGGAGGCGTTACATATGCCACCATCTTGGTTCTCCCTTTCTTTTTTTAAATCTTTATTGTTGAAAGTATTACAGATGTTCCCCCTTTTTCCCCCCAATTGACCTCCTTCACCCTGCACCCACTCCTCCCAGGCCTTTACCACACTATTGTCCCAGTTAATCTCTCCCAACACCACCTTCCCTCTGAAATTCGTCAGTCTTCCAGGCTTCTATGTCTCTAGATCTATTTTGTTCATCAGTTTATTTTGTTCATTTGAGTCCACATATGAGTGAGATCATGTGATACTTATGTCTGTCTGGTTTATTTCACTTCAGGAGGGTGTATTCTTCAGGGAGAAAAAGTATAAGAAGATAGCTAAAGCAGAGGACTTGTGTAGTATAATGTTAGGAAACATGGCTGTAAAGGTGGTTGGGGTAGGATTTACAAAACATCTTGAATCCTCCGTTAGTGAATTTATATTGCATTCTGTAAGCAAGGAGGAATCATTAATAGGAATAGGGGTGTGATTGAACGGCCAGAAGCATTGGATTAAAACAGCCTATGAAAGTCGTTTCATCCTGAGATATACC